AACTATGAGCATGTACAATTCGTATAAAATATATTTATTGGCAAAATAATTACATGTACACATGTTTCTTAAGCGTTTGAATACAATTAATCACAATTTCATAAATTTTCTGTTAGTTTGCATTCGCGATTTTTCTTAATTGATGTATATGAGTTATTCAATAATAGAGATAGATGGCTTTACCATATCATTAATATGGAAACCCCTTGCCCATACTTGTTATATTCCACATTCTTCCTTTGTACAAACGTTGCAACGCCCGGAGAAGAACATGGTACTATTTGTTTTGTGTATCTGACATTGTTACTGTGTTCGTCATTTTCATGGTAGGTGTGTTCCTTGGCACAGAATATTTAGCTTATATTACGCGATTAATATTTGTATACTATAACACAAACTTGTCTAATCAGTGATAAGTTGCCGGTCATCGATGGATACTAATATATAATATAATATTCATTGTTTGATTTGCTCAAATTAATCAAGTTATTGATGATTTGTTGTGGTTCTGTCAACTCAAACCTAATGTCGGACGTGATCTCTGTCAATTCTACGATTTATTCATTTGTATCTAAAACACTGTATCACAGTAACCCTACATTTTTGAAGATTGCAAACTAATATTCAAACAATCTATTTCAGAAACGCAACTTATTTAAACCTAAAGTGAGACACAGTCCATCAACTATGTGAGCGTAGTAATTTGTTATATCACATAGTTCAGTGAAATTACACTTTTTTGAAAATTATTTTTAAAACCAATTATTCACCTTTAGTTGAAAAAAGTTGAATAGTTTGTTATATGTTTTCTCAATAAATGCGTCTTAATAAGGATGGGAGTATCCCATGCAATACATGGTATACAGGCGATATAATAATAATAATATATTTGAGTACGATAATGATAGTTCTGTCTCGTAGTACATACTATAATACACTATAATATATACAAGACCGATGCTTCCTACAAAATTGTACTTCGAAAGACGTGATACACGTGGCTGCAAATATGAAATCTGTACGACATTATTATGGTTACTAAATATGAATCAAGTGAACTAGTATGTTGAAAAAATTGTTAGGATCTGTGTCAGTTCGTATGAAGTTACTGTTTTGGTTTTATTTATTGAAACTATATACGATTTTCAGTTGAAAATTTTTAGATGTTAATGTCAAATGTTAATGTCAATGCAGTTTACTAGCATGTTTCCACACTAGTACCCATAAACGAATTTATAGTAGTATGTTGTTTACGTCGTGCATAAAACACAATGTTTCAAATAATACAATATGTTAACGAAAGGTATGCTGTTGTCGTCTAAACACAGAACATTCATATCGAGGTAAATTGGTTTAACAAGCTCGCAAGACAGCTTCAGTGTCCAATTGATCAGATTAGCAGATGCTACCGTGACTGCTGGAAACAGGAAACACGTTATTCGAATTGTTCTAGATACATAAGGGATTTGTTTATTTAAATCTCCTTAATTGACATTGTATTTAGGCGTGACAGCCAATAATGAGATTTCTTTAATGCGTTGAAAATAAGTTGTTTGTCGTACACTGTAATTGGAAATAAATTACTATTTTTTATTTGATAGACAAACAATTATCGAATGCGCGAAACATAATCTTCTACTTTTGCTTATTGTTAGTACCCTGTGCTATTTTTCCTTTCACAACTTTTAAATGATTCTTTCACGCATGGACTAGATCAAATCAATAGAATGCTTGTGTGAAATAGGATGAATTACTATAATTAGTATAATTGCCTTTCATCGTTTTACAATTCTTCACTGGGACACAATTATAGTCAAAAGTGTACCATGCAATTACTGTGGATTCACATATTCCGTTAAAATAGAAATAGGTATTATGAGCATCTGACGATGAACCTTGCAGCGAATGAAATCTGTCACTCACATGTCAGTTTGTTGGCTTTTTCTTTTCTCCTGTGTGTGCAACTCTGAAAATGTCGCTGACCGTTACCTGCGCCATATTAAATGTTGGTAGCCAGAAAGATCATACTAAACCTGAATAAGGCGATGTGTAGTAACTTTAATTATGTAGTCAATCAGCACAATAAGTGAGATAACTGAACTGACACGCTGCCGTATCTATTCAGTGTGATAGCCATAGTGTAGGAACATTATTAATCACACAATTTTAATATAATTTCTTCTGTAATGAGTTCACAGTTACAAATTTAGTCCTGGCAAAATAGCTGTAGAGCCGTAAGGTAATTTTTACTCACTCCACAAGATGCAGGTAACCAACACTATAATTTGAGCACAATCCTGACTGCGTTCCGTGATATCCACATTATAGTGCATGTGAGTATAATGATATGTAAATTAATATGTCCAGCTTTACATGACATCATGACAGCTTTATAACGCACATGCTCACATTTTAATAATTAAGGAAAACGATTTATATAGTAGTGGCATGTTCGTCAAGGGCGACACAATGAATCACGGTATGGACGAACTAGGAACAGGTATATAGAGCCAACAAACGAAATGTATGTGTTTTTTTTTCTGATGAGGTGAGTGCTATTCAGTACTTTCCCATGGTAGTTGATATGATACATTTCATTCTAGCCAGCATCTCTTTTAATCGAAAATGTGATTATTTTGTTTAGTTTATTCATTTGAACAAACCAATGGTAACAGCGGTACGTTTGGTAAGAAGTATGTGTTTTATCACTGACAGTAACGATTTTGCGCGTAAACAGTTTCCATTTCGTAAAGTCATTAATAATTGAATCAGTAGAGCGGCTGGATAAAAACAACAATGTAAAATCACATTTGCTATAGAGTCATTTTAAAAGAATAATTTATAAATAACATGTACATAATTAAATATTACACAACTTTTGTCGAGCAAAGGGGTCGGCATACTCTTATTCATTTGACATTCCAGTGCCATACACATCACGATGTATTGGCATAGATAGTTGATGTAAATAGTTCACGAACCATTTCACAATATTCACTCTTAGCTTCCGCCTGAAAGGCTGTGCAATAAACCGTTTATATGTTGTCAGTCTTCATAGTTACTATAAACTAATATGCCCACAATAACACAATCAAAAAGGTAGGTTGTATAAAAAAAAAACGGGCGCATTCTTCAATTTTTGGTTACCAATTTTAATTAATTTTTAATATGAAGTTAGGATACAAGCCGCTCCTCTAACAATTGTTCATGGGTTTGCATTTTTACTATGCTTTAAACATATATATAGAAAAGCAAGGTATGTCTTTCTGTACTCTCTAGGTGACTTTTCAGAAGTAGACTTCAACTTGACGATCGAGAATGAATGTATATTATAATTTCTTTAGTTAACACACCAAAATATGTGATGAAATACAGTTTGGAAATTATACCATGGCTAATATTGGTCAAAATTTGCACCTACGGAAATAATTCTCATATATATAATACAATCCAGGATTAATATTGCCAAGGAATATGTGGGTAGATAGTTATAGTATAGTATTACTGAAGGCGTAACAACCTAAGTGTGTATTATTTTTTTAATGATATATTTCAATTGTAGCATTACCATATAAATATCTTCCTACACGCTAAGTTGTTCTGGCGTGGCACCGTTTTCGCTGTCAATATTCGTCGTCGCATTAAACTTACTGTCTTAAAACGACCTTCGTTTTCGTGCCAGCTACTCTATCCTATCTTTGCTCATTTATATTACGCATTTATTTCTCGCACGTCCCCTTTTTCTTTTCATATTCGTCATTACGTTGTGATGTGTGAGCTGCGGTATGCGTGTATGTCTATTGTTTCTTTAGATTCTTATGCGAATTAGAGTCAATGTTGTGTTTTCTACTAATCCGCTGTTTATCTCTGTTCAGTTTCATATTTCGACTCACTTGCCGAAAAACATGCCTTCGTGGGTGAATTTTGACGAAACAATTTAACCAATTCCACTATGAATTCAGTAAAAAAAACTCATACAATACAATGTTATACATTATATGATTTATTTTGAAAGGTACAGCGAACTGTAATCTAATTTATAGCACTTATCGATGTTTATTTACGGCATTGATCCACGATGGCGCTTTATTTTTTTATATTCCTAGGAATCAATGATATATTTTCATTAAAAAAGTAGGCAACATTGAAACAGCTATTGTTTGGATATATCAACATGACGATAATGACATTTTGTTTTTGCAACGTACATTATTTACACATATTCTTTTGTTATTTCGTTGATTATTAGGACCACATATTTGCATCATGGAATTAGGAAACCACACCATTGTAACCGCAGATAATGTTACAACGTTACCCGATGACGGCTTTACATGTAGCGTGACTGGGCGTGCGTTATATATAGGAGGTATTTTGATTTGTGTCACCGGACTTCTTTTTAACGGAGCATTCGTGTTCGTATTTGCCCGTGTACGCTATATGAAAACACTGACAAATGCGTATTTAGTAAACTTAGCTACGTGTGATATGCTTCTTTTACTTAGTGTGTTATTATTGTATGGGAGTATGTTAACCAGTCCCAATGCGCTTACGGTGAGCGTCAACTGTGCCATCAACTTTGTACAGACGACGCTTCTATTCGTGTCCTTATGGGTTGTTACGATCGTCAGCATCGAAAGGTATTTAGGGATTTGCAACCCACTGAAGGTCCGGATGTTCAACACCAAATGCCGCGTAATGTCTCTCATCTGCACAACCTGGGTACTAGGTGTCATATTTGCCGTACCGAGAATCCTACAATGCA